CAGGAACGAGCGCCTCAAGTGACATAGACGTGGCCTGGCGATTAAGTCGGTTCATGCTGTCAGCGGCATTCAGCGGGACAAACAAAATAGTGTGAACTGGTAGCTCTTGAATATGTGGGGTGGCCTTACATTGGGAAGAAATGTCGTAAGTAGCCTCCTCTTCGCCTTGCGTCTTGCCACGGGCACAAAGTTACTTTCATTGGAGCTCTCATCACTGGCCGTAGAATATATCAGTGTGTCCTCACTGTCGACGTCACTAGGGTGGCCGGAGCGCTTTCTTAGAGTGGCCACAGACAACGCGGAAGGTATGGGTGGAGGCCCTGGTGATTCTACGTCCATTTCCGCAGGCAGAAAAACGGCGTCTTCCACAAGCACTAATGAAAAACGAGAAAAAATAACAGAGACTAAAGCCAGCGTTCCACTCAGGAAAACCTTCGTCTTTCGGTGCAGAATTTAAAAGTGGATATATCGGCCGAATTTTTATTTGTATTTGATAGGAGGAAGGGAGGAAGCAACAAAAAGGGAGAAGGCAGGGAGGTTAACCAGAAAGACATCCGGTTGGCTACCCTACACTGGGGGATTAGGGAAGGGGACAAGAAAGACGAGAAAGAGGGAAGAGAGGGAAAAGAAAAAAGTGGGGGAGAGACTGACAGAAATTTCACTGCAGCGTGTAGAACTCTCCCGCATGTCAGAGGCGTTCACACAAGCCTGTCTTTCTCAGGAAACACAGCAGGGCTTTCACTGCCTTGCGGGCTGTCCAGGCATGTGGACGTTGCTGTAATAGCACCTGCACAGAAAGAGGCCGATCATCCAGTCGCCGCATCGCATTGGCAAGTACTTGTCTATCTGAGGCAAATCGAGGACAATGGCGCAGCAGGTGTTCGATATTTTCGTCGGTCCCGCAAACATCGCACGCCGCACTGTCAGTAATTCCGATTAACGTGGTATAAGCTTTCGTGAAAGCAACTCCCAGCCAAAGGCGAAAGAGAAGCGAAGCTGCACGTCGATGTAGGCCGGGTGGAGGCCGGAGTTGTAGTGAAGGGTCGAGCTCGTGCAGTCTTGTACGTCGTATGCTTGGTGTGTTCCACTCAGTCAGTGTGAGACTGCGGGCCAGTTGACAAATCTGCCTCGCCGCATCCGCTCTTGAAAGCGGAATCAGAACGCTGTTCGCTTCTTTATGTGATGTGCGAGCAGCATGATCTGCAGAATCATTGCCGCCTATACCACTATGCCCAGGTAACCACTGAAAGACGATGTCATGGCCTTTTTGTATTAAAAGGTGGTGAAGTTTCACGGTTTGGTAGGTCAACTGGTCGTGGCATCCGCGTCGGAGAACTGATATCAGGCACTGTAACGCTGGTTTTGAGTCAGAAAACACAGCCCGTTTACCTGGTCTTTCTTCTAAATTGATGTGTTCCAGTGCATTGCGCAAAGCCTCGAGTTCTGCCGTCTTTGAAGTTGTCACATGTGAAGTCTTAAAACACCGAGTTACCCCTTGTAATGGTATAACCACTGCTCCACCTGAACTAGACAGCGTAGTAGAGCCATCCGTGTAAATGTGCACGTGGTTACTGTAGTTTTTATTCCAGTAGGAATAGACTCAGTTGTTTCAGGGCATGTGTCGGTAAGTCCGATTTTCTCCTCATTCCTGGAATCATTAAGTGAACTCGCGGCCGGCTCAAGCTCCAAGGAGGAAGCAGTGGCTTTGATGCAGGTGCGTATGTCTCAGCAAACGATGAACGATGCTTGTAGACAATAGTGCCGTATGTCGTGCGGAGCCTTTCAGCAGCTAGGCTCGCCAGGTGGTGAGACGGGGTCCTGGCATAATGCCTGAGGTGCATGCGCATTGTCTCGGTAATAATATGCGTATTTATTGAGTGATCTTGAGCGATGGCAATGGTTTCAGCCGTTGAAGCACTGCAGGGTAATCCAAGGCATATCTTAAGTTCTTGGGCTTGAATTCTCTGAACTGCGCGCAGGTTGGTCTTGCCGGTGTTAGATAGTGCAGGTAAGCTGTACCGTAATAATTCGATAAACAGCACTCGACAGTTGTAGCATGGATGGTATGGGCACTCCCCAATTCTTTCCTGCAAGGAATTTGAACATGTGGCTTGTTGCGATCAGCCGCTTCTTCACATAGTTCACGTGTGGAGTCCACGACAGGTTTCTATCTATTATGACTCCCAAGAACCTGTGGCTTCTGCTGAACGATATGTATTCTTCATTAATCGATATACTGTAAGCAGACATTGGTTTCCGCGTGGACGCTACCACTGCACATTTTCCGCAGGACACCTCGAGGCCTTGTTTACGTAGATAGCATGACGTCGCTGTAGCAGCCTTCTGAAGGCGGGCGCGTAGCTGAGGCCTTGTCACACCTGATGTCCAAATGCAGATGTCATCAGCATAGACAGTAAGTTCTACAGTGCTAGGTAGCTGCTCGACTAGACCAATGACAGTTAGGTTGAAAATGGTAGGGCTTAGCACTCCTCCCTGAGGAACTCCTCGGCTGCTGTAATAATCACGTGTTGGGCCATTCGCTGTCATCACGTAAAATGATCTCAGCTGTAAGTAGCTGTACACCCACATATATATCTTGCCAACAAGAACTGCTGTTTCCAAAGCACTAAGGATGGCTTCATGGGTGACATTGTCGTAAGCCCCCTTAACGTCTAGAAACAGGGCGGCGCACAGTCTCTTACAGGCTTTCTGGTGTTGTATTTGATAAGCCTGTGACAAAGAAGTTAGCCAAACTAGAGTATAACTTTCACACTAAACTGAATTAGTGTCCCTTTACACTCTATGGAGGGCTATAAAGACGTTGTTCTTACCTTGGTCATTGCCTTAGAGCAGGCGAAGACTGAAAAAAAAACGCGCCTGTTGAAACATCCACGCACTAAGCTACGCACACAACAACTACGCACTGAAGAAATTGAACAGCTACACACAATAAGCGCGAGGACCAAGGAAACGGCGAATCTGGTGGTCTACCTTCCTCATCATCCTCACATCATTTCTCCTCACGCTCACTTCCTGTTCCTGCCCCTTGCTCTTCCGAGGGTTTACTCTGGTTTACCCTTATCCTCTTTCCATTCTCAACCTCACCTTTCGTTCCATTGGTTCTATATACTTCCCTCTACAAGATGATTGAAAGCTGAGCGGGTTGGTAATCCATAACTACAAAATCTGCGGGATAAGGAGACAAGAAGGCACACGCTCGCGTACCGCGCTTGTGCGTGTGCCTTCTGTGTTCTTGTTTCTTTTTCGCGCAGTCTTTTTTGCAGTTGCTCTACAAGGCTGTGCAATGACTTACCCCTCGCGTTCCCCTTTCCATTCTCCTCACTCTCACTTCTCTTTCTTTCCCTTTGCTACAGTATACTTGGCTATGCTGTGCTTTCCCTTCTCCCCTTCGCCTTCCACTCACGCATCACTCATCCTGTCCCCTCACATCCCTTCCCAAGCCCCTTGCTACAGTTTACAATACTTGACTCCGAGGCTTTATCCTACATGTGCCTCATATTCATTCTCCTCACTTACACATCACTCCTCCTATATCCTTTCTCTTACTACACGCTATACTATGGTATTCAGGGGTATGCTATGATCCCACTTCGCTTTGTATAGCTGAAGTTTACAGCTTTTGGCAGCCATGGATCGAACTCAGGGTTAACCAGCTCAAGTTTTTTTTTTTCTTTCAAGTCACATAGTTACAAAATTATCTGCTGTGCATACAACAATGCCTGCTGACGATAGGAGGGCCGCTAGTCCATGAAGGCTGAGAAGGTGCTACGCAATATTTCGGTAAATATTTACGGTAATAGGTCGTAGTAATAGCCGGTTCGTACAGCTTCTGCATTTATCGAGTGGTCTGATTCGCGGCAAGCAACGCCGCAGTCTTGTCAGTCGGTGCTCAAGCAAAGGCACCTAAATGTTGTCTTACGTTTTCGTTCCCTTTGCGTCATCGAGAGCCCCGGCTGGCCAACGGCTCCAAAGCGTCAAGCCTGCACAGACAAGTCGTAGAAGTCAATCTCCTTTACGTGCGGCTATGCAAGGCGGTCGCATTGCATGAGACCCACAGTATGACCTGTCCAACATTGACCAATTGACAAACTGCGGGCGAGAAAAATCACCTTACGACACGCGCTGCATTAGGCGTTTACTGGTGAGGTGTTAGGGCTCCATTGGTCGGGCTTTTTCACATCGTCGTGTGCTCGCAAAAAAAAAAACAAAAAAGAAAGGCTACAAAAAATAGAAAAACAAAACTTCAGCGATTGCATGCCGCATTTGGCATGCACAAAATGTGTGCAGAGAATGCACGCAGTTTTGTTATATACGTACAAAATTGTCGACCACCCAGTTTACCAAAGTTGAATAATTAGCTTTTATATCAGAAGTAAGCCGACATGCTTGCATTGCAAAGCTACAGGCGGTCAGGTTTCTACACATTTTCACTCGCATGGTAGAGTTCTTCATGAACTTCCGCACTCTAATATATACGGTAACATTCGTGCCTATTTTATTACTGTGATTGTATAATTACAATATGTTCGTTGCTGTCATTGCGTTACTTTTGTATTTGGTGATTATATGTTTACTATAATAATGATTGCGTCCTTGTTCATTCATTATGTTTTGAAGTTTATTTCTGGTTTTCAAATCCATTGCTTCTGCTGCCCCACAGTGGTAAGGCTTAGTCAGGAGGTTTAAGTCCTCCTTTTGCCTTGCCTCGCGGGCAAACCCTGTATACGTTTTGTACCCCCCCCCCCTCCTAAAAAAGAATATTAATTGCAGCTTGCACAAAGACGCCTGAAGGGCACTGAAGATAGCTGCTAAGCTAAACCTCTCGTCGTGGCGTGGTTGTTGCTTGTTGTGTTTATTCTGACTTCACTACAGCTTTCTGCTTTTGCACTTGTGAACATTAACGCAGCAAAAGTGAATGAACAATGAGATTTCCGATTAATGGCTATACATAACTATTTACAACCTCTTCGCTCACGCAGTACTGGGACGATTACAAGCTAAGTTGGGATCCTCGCGACTACGGTGGAGTGGACATGTTGCACGTGCCTTCGGACCACATCTGGAGGCCAGACATTGTTCTCTATAACAAGTATGCTCACTCTGTCTCACATTGTGCTTTCTTTAAGGGGGCTTAGCTTACGACATACCGATTGCTCTAGGAAACTTGTGAAACGTACAGCAGTTTTAATAATTTTGGTCCTATTTAAATTTTGGGTCTTTAGCTATAACATCTTCCTTACGCGCTCTATAATCGCTTTAGAGAATGCCATTGAACATTTTCATAGATTCAGGAAGGCGAAGCAAGTTACGAAGATCGCGGTTGTGGTAAAATGAATATATAGGTTACGAAATATACGCTGAAGCGCAGGGATAATGTCTTACTCGTATTAAAGACGCTTGTTATGCGTTGTCATAAATTTCTCGCACTTCTGTATATCAGTTCTGCAGAAACGATGCGCATTCATTATCGATTTCGCATCAGCCCTGTTCGATTGGATATTTATGCAGCGGTATACCGAAGCTGCTCTCCCTGCTCAGAGCAAGGTCAAATATTCCCTTCCGGATTCCCGCTGCGGCATTGCAAAGAGTGCAGATAGATGGTACAGCAGCAGCTTGCGTGTTGCGCGTTGTGTGAAAGGCCAAACGCCACCATATTTCCACGGGGAACTAGAACTATAATGCTATGCGCTCGGACGCTTTATTGCAATGTGAACCTATGCAAGCAAACTGTCACGTTACCACGTTAACTTAACCTGCTTCAGCAACATAAATGTCTGTGTTCATAGCTGGTCATTGTTTATAATGGGTAACTATTTTCTTTTATTTTCCGCTGCACAATTCGTAGGAATAGAGTAGCCGAGGTAATATGAACCTCAACCTCTCCACAGCAGACAGTTATAACAAAATAGGACAAAACAAAAAGTGAAGTGCGCACGATTGAGCCCTTTCTTCTAGCCACAACTGCAGTGGTTCTCAAACATAGATTTGGGGACTCCTCGTGGGCAGATAGAAGGGATGATCGAGTGGGGCCCCAGGAGCGAGCTGAAGTGGGGCTCGTAAATTGACTAAACATGAAGCGTGAAATAGGTGCCTCTTATTCCTCCTTGGCAAAGAATGCTCACATTAATGTGCCACGCCGATTCTCTAACTGAGCAGCTTGTGAATAAGTTGCCCGTCCGGTAGCCTTGTTCGACCTGTTTGTGAATATGCTAGTTCACAAAATATGCAAGCCCTAAAAAATGTATGCCTGCGAGCGTATATGTTGCAGAAAACTTGAACCCAAGCTTTACGGCCATCTCACGGAGAAGTGCAAACATAAGCAACTCCACCGCAATAAAAATAATTATGCCGTAAGGCATACCAAAAATCGAAAGTGGCCTCTGGCTGTAACGGTGCATAGTGTACCTCGGAAGAAAACTTTTTTTTTTTTCTGGAACGGGTTTCAGAGGCCCCCAAAATCAGACTCGCGAACTTTTCAAATGGGGGTTTGCGGACACCAAGGAATTTGAACATATTGCCTAAGTTTTCGTTCCTGTTTAATAAGCCTATGACAACGAAATTAATGCCACTAGAGTACAGCTTACCAAAATAAACTGACTCATTGGTGACCCTTTATGTCGGAACCGATTAAGATGTATTCACTTGACGGACCAAATAGTAATTCAAGCCTGCGGATTCCGTACTACTTCATCGTACGTAAGCCATTTCTGCGTGCCCGCTTTGGTCCGCACGGATCGATGCATGCAAAGATGGAAGCCCGAATTGCTGTTGGGGACCAATGCCGAAATTTTCGCTTGTGGCGTGAATTCTTCCCTGTTGTATGAATGGTGGCTGCAGAGGGATACGAATTACGTCACGTGTCACGTGACTGATCCGTCCGCGATCACGTCTGCCTTGTCAATACAGCTTTAATGGTGAAGCGATATAAGGTTATTGTTCTTACCTCGGTAATCTCTTCAGAACATGTGAAGACTCTGAGAAAAGCACACCTTTTTCACGCACGCACTCACGCACACACACACACACACACACAAATATGCGCGCACACGCGCACACACACACGCACAAACACAAAGGTTGTTGGCGTGCGCCAAGGTGTCTGAAACCCCCCCCCCCCCATCTCTTCAACGCCACAGCGCTATATTGTTTCACCTACAACTGATATTTCCGGTTTAAAATGTCATTTCACCAGTGGCCACTGCGATTCTTCAAGCCACCTATACTTCACAATAGTGGCTGCAATATACACTATTGAGATGGCATCAATCAATTAATTAATCATTTTATCAATTAGCTGACTGTCTTTGCGATTCTCATAGGCTGTTTGGGTCTATCGCTGGGAAAAAATATAAAGACGGAAGGCATGTAGGTTAATCAGAAAATCATCAGATTTGATACACTGTGCTTGGGAATTAGGAAATGGGAATAGAAAGATCATAGAAAGAGCAGGGAAGGAAAAAGGGAAATTAGCAGTAGCTGAAAATTGTTGAGATTGTTTGACGAGTAATAACAGCGGACTCAATCGCAATACGTCTTGCAACATCTTGCAAAAAACACTTAAAATTCAAAAACGAAACTAGAATATCTGCTTATTAGACATAAAGAATGAAATACTTAACCATTTTGAGAATATAGAATATCAATAGGCATTGCCTTGGACCTACATTATAATTGTGGCTCATAAAAACTAGATTTATTTCTAACATACTTTTTAATATTATTGCAAATAAGTCGTAGAAATAACCCGAAGGTCACCGGATCGAATCCCGGCTGCTGCGGCTGCATTTTCGATGGAGGCGTAAATGTTCGAGGCCCGTGTATACTTAGACTTAGGTGCACGTTAAAGAACCCCAGGTCGTCAAAATTTACAGAGCCCTGCATTTCGGCGTTTCTCATAATCATATCGTGGTTTCGACACGCTACATCCCAGACATTATTATTATTATTATTATTATTATTATTATTATTATTATTATTATTATTATTATTATTATTATTATTATTATTATTATTATTATATAACGTTGATAATATTGATAATATTATTCATAACACTATCCTCGGCTCTGTAAATAATTATCTAATTGACAAAAATTGTCATAAAGCGAATAAGGGCGATGAGAAGGCACGATGTGTTATGCCACTTGTGCCTTACATATTGTTTGTTTGTCGAAACAATGAATCGTTAATTTGTTGCGTTATGCTTTGTTCCTTATCTTGCTCCTTTTGTAACCTTTGTCACTCTCACGAGTGACTTTTTATAGCTTGACAAGCTAAGCGCCATGTTTTGCCGTTGGTGGCGTTTGTGCCTCGCAGCGCCGACGGCAACTTCGAGGTGACACTGTCCACGAAGGCTCAGCTCAACTACACGGGTCGCATCCAGTGGAAGCCGCCGGCCATCTACAAAAGCTCGTGCGAGATCGACGTAGAGTTCTTCCCATTCGACGAGCAGACGTGCCTGATGAAGTTCGGATCTTGGACTTACGACGGATTCAAGGTGAGTGATTATCTCAGGTTGGTCGCTCCAGCTGTCTTGTTGTCCAGTTCGATGCGAATCATATGAAGTCTGGGACGCTGTCAGGTACGCAATGCCATCATTAATTCAGATTTTATTAGAAATTAGTGGAGCTTGCGGATAGGTCGCGCAATGCTTGGTCACAGCAGATCTGGTGAGCACGTAGCTCATAGTAACTTGACTAGACTTTTAACATCTATTGGGGAACTCCTACAACAGCTCTGTTATAGAACATCTATAGTGGATATGTGCTACAGAAATTTGGCAAATCCTGCTACTCACAACCCTGGACGCATAAATATCAAGGGGTCACACGGGTTGCGAACATCCATCAAGGCCCACACATTCCAGCTTCTATTGTTAATCTTCTGGAGGGAACGCTTGGGTGGATATTGAGTGCCTGTCGGTTTTTTGTGATGTTAGTTTTCAATCTATGACAGATGACGAAACCTCGATCTTAAGAGCTCTCTTGTAAAAAAGCAAATCGACTGACAGAAATCCTCGGATAATTCAGTTTCTAGAGACCTGGAAGTACTTTCAAAGGGAATCACCAAGTGGCGTTCTAAGGTTTACCGAGTTGATGAAAAGTGATGGAACACAGAACGTCTCTGGAACAAGCTTTTCTGATATCAAAACGCTGAGTATAGCGGACGATATTCGCTTAAGACGACTGGAAGGCGAAAATCATCCACTTAGATTTTCGCGCTTGCTACATAAGGCTGCAGCGGAGAGGTTCACCTCTCGTCAACCCCAAAAATAGAGCAATACACGGTGCATGAAAATCTTATTAATAAGTAAAACTAGTATGCATGAGCGGTGAAGATTCTAGTTCGTAATTGCGTATCTGTCAGTGAAGCTTAAGTTAAGCGAGAGAAAAGTTTAGTTAGCCCTGTGTAACGTAATTAGCATGACATTTACTCCTTTAAAGAACGAAAAAATGTCAATAGGCACTTTTCTCACAGTGGAGAGAGCCTACTGAAAGCGGCCGTAGTACGGTGTTGAATAAGGTATAATTGACAACCACCTATTTGTAGCCTGACGCCACTGGGAAGTCAGTGCGCACTTCTCAGAAACGGGGTGGTCGCTCACCAACTGAGCTAACAAAGAAGCTCGGTACAGGCAGCGAGAAGGCGAATATATCGACTACTCGAAGCACATTGGAAAAAAAACTGGCCCCGTATCTGCATGTAATCTGCAAGTGTCGTCGAAAGACGATAGTCTTGCGTGTGGAGAGAGTGAACAATTCATTTGATGTTCTGCGCAAGAAAATTGGTTAATGGTATTCTGGAGGCACTGCGTTAGAGTGCCTCGAGCGTGCAGCGGAGGCGGACGAGCGCATCAAGTCCCGTCACACGTGAGACATGCGCGCCACCTGGCAGTGTTCTTGAAAAACGACGCGCGTGGCTCTCAGACGGGTGTGCGCGCCCGTCTCAGAGGTGATAAGGTGAAGAACGCAAGGCGACGGGTAGGTGCCACCACCATCGCGTCTTAACAAAGCGTTGGAAGCACTGACCTTTTCGTGCAAACGTTGAATGGTCAGCGCAGCGTGACAAGCGCTACAGTCCGTAAAATTACTAATGTATGCCTTTTCTAGTAAAATATATACATGCAGAATATATACGGGTTGTTATGGTGCCCCAGACTTGCGCAATATTGCTTAATAATTGACAATTGCACAATTTTGAACGCTAAACCTTGAGCAACATTGGTGGGTGCTGTGGATGGGGTCAACCGTTTCAAGTACCTGATGCCGTTAAGAGTGGACAAACAGACAAATGTACAGACAAATGTACAAAATTTTTGCGTCGAAGGTCCGCAAGAAAGACTATCGTCTTTAAAATATGTCAGCGTGTCTCGATGGAGGAGAGACGCGCGCTCGCACTCGTGCACGTCGAGTCTGCCCTCATCTCTGACATTGGGGAAACACGTGAAACGCTACACCATGCTTAACAATTGTAGCAAAGACGGACTACGCCACCATTGTGCAGGAATTTTGTAGTGCAGGAAAGCTAGCTTAGAAAGTTCTGCTGCGTATCTATGGGCAAGCTACATTTGCATTGATCAAGTAGATGGAGGCCCAGGTGACCTAAGGCAGCATTAGCTATATTGTTTGCACACGGCAAGTGAAGGGGACTTTGCGTGCCTGAGTGTACTACGTCCACTATATAGACTCGTCATGACGTAGTCGAATCTCATGGCATGCAAGAACGCTGTACATTGAAAAGTCAATCGCTAGATGCTTTCGCGAAAAAATCCCCAGTCACGTCAACCACTCTGCATCTTTGGAGCACGGCTAATGACAAAGCAAAAGTTGGGGGACGTTGGTGCAGAAGTATGCTGAGGCAGTGGAGAATTTAGGGCATTAAAAAACGGCACGTGAGGGTCCTCTGATTCGCAAAAGTAATGCGATATATTGTTCTGAAGTTCAATTTTTCGACTCATTTTTTTTTCTGCATGGCTTCCTTAAGATCATCAGTTAATTCTGTATTGGGCGTTTTCACTCGACTCTCAACTGCACAACCTAAAGTTAAATTAACTCGAAGCTAAACATAGAACGTTCTGGAGATGACGTAATGAATGCGTAGCAACTCGCATTGATTCACGATCATGTCTCCAAAGGGAACCGCCTGTCGTGAAAAAAGTTAAATCTGCTATACCTGGTTAGGCGTCGTAGCATTCAGAACGCGAGGTCACCCTTCTAAGGTCACCAAAGCCGATAGCTATTGTTGCCAGTGCAATGAAAATTTACTAGCAAACTAGTTCCCGTGGGTCACTTTCTGACTCAAAACATCATATTTGTCATAATGGCCCAGGCACTCTTTCCTGAAGCAATAATAATTATGCCTTAGGCAAGTCATGCCATATGTCATTAATTTTAACGTTAATCACCTTTCATCGTTGCTTTGCGAGCACTTTTGACTGCACGTGAAGTATTAAAGCTTATTAGCATGCATTCTCACTCTTGTTGTGTTGTGATTTTTCTCAATATTTTCTTTTCTCCTTTCGTTCCACACAATAATAGTAGGCAACTCGGCGCTACCACGTTTAACGTCTCGGACTTTTCTTCTCTATGTGTGACTTTATATGCTTAACCACACAAATTTTTTTTACGTGAACACATCCTGTGCAGGCTTCTAGTTATAATATAGATGGAGACGTTACATCATAATTACCGTCATCCGAACGGCCATCATATTAAGCTACGCTCGCAGTGCAAGCGCCGTTTTTTTTTTCTGACGTCCTTTTCGCCTGACAGCCAAATTATGCGAGAATATAATGGGCCACTTTGTCACAATCAAACTTATTCTCCGTTGCACTGACTTTCTCAGATCCCGTTCAAAACCGCGGCGTCAGTTCTCCGTCCTTGCTGCCAGCTTTTTCTCAACCCATTGCAGGGTTTCAGAAACGTTGGGCACGACATTAATTGCAACGCGTTTTATGTTAAGTTTTTGACAGTCATGCATGGCAGTCAAGTCGACTTTTTACGTCTGACGCTGCTTCAACTATACACATGTACCGCAGGTGAGAGCAATAAGAAATTCTAGCGTCGGGAACCCCTAGCCACTGGGTCCTTTAAATTTTACGTCCTTTTATGCACTCCCATTTTCTTCTGGGTGCTAGCGGCCACCTCAGCGAGCATATATATATATATATATATATATATATATATATATATATATATATATATATATATATATATATATATATATATAAAGAGAGACAGACAGAGAGAGAAATGAGGAAAGGCAGGGAAGTTGAGCAAGCTATAGCTCGGTTGGCTACCCTACACGTGTGGTACGGGAAAGGGGGATAATAAAAGAAAAGCTCGAGAAAGAAAAATGAAAATAACAGTCGGTACACAGACAGCACCGACTCGCTCTCTTAGTTCATAGACACTCTTGCAGTCCAGTCGCCTTCAGGTAGCTCAGTAGGACTTTCGGAGCCCTGTGCATGTCCCGAGCCGTGGGCCAAGGCCCCAGGATCCTCTTTTCAGGCATCGGTCTTGCATTAATACTATCGAGTTTGGCTCCAAGAACACGTCGTTGAGTCTGATAAGATGGGCAGTGGCATAAAATGGGATCAGTGGTCTTCTCAACAGGCGCATGAGCTGCTTGCCGCTCTGTTGGCCATTACAATGAAATGATAGTATGCATTCTTGAATGCGCCTACCAACCACATCTAACCCAAGAAAGTTTAATCTCGATGGTAGAGCTCGGATGGCAAGCGAAGGCTTAAGTTAGGGTCTATAGAATGTATGTGTGAGCTGGAGAAAACCTGCGTATTCCATTGTAGAAGTGTGACGCGACGAGAGTATAGAAAAACGCAATATATTGTATATGCAAGCCGTTTGGTGGCTCCGGCACTAAGAATCTCAAAAATTCTACTTCCGGCACGTAAGCGCTTACGGGTGATTCCCCGCTGCGCATGGAGGCGATGCTAAGACGCTGAGACTCTAAGTGGATGAGTGCGGGTCCGGTTCCCAGCCACGGTGGCCGCATATTGAGAGGCGCAAAATGCAAAAAATAAAAAAAAAAATGAACGGGAACTTTAACGTAGAGGCCCATTAAAGGAACGGCGAGGATAAACATTGTTCCTGAGACCTTACAAAGGCGTACCACACAGTCGTACCGTGATGTGGACTTGAAAAGCAGTAGAATTTTCTTTATACTCCAAACTCATTTTAACGAAGTCAGGATTGCGCTAGAGTTATTACATGCGAAGCAGCTTAGGGTCTAGCTCAATCCGGTGTGCGGCGTGACCACCCTTACTACGTATGCACGTCCACTCTCCGTCTCCTCTCCTACGCTCCCCTTCTCTCGCTTCGCAACGCCGACGCAGGGAGTGTCTGCTTACCTACGCTCACCCAACCCTCTTTCTCTTCTAGACATTCATCCCCGTGGCATTTACACCCCGATGCGCATGCGCGCCCCCTCTCTCTTCTCGCCGATGCTCTCCGCTCTCTCGCCTCGCAACGCCGAAGCAGCCAGGATCTACCCTGCTCAACTGAGAGCCCTGCTGCTGTGGGGCAAACGTGCCGCCTCACCATCGAGACGCCCCTCACAGGACTCTCGACCACTGCTGGCTTCTGTTAAGGCAGGAGCCTTCATTCCCTTGTCGTGACCTGTGACGCGCCTACTGCTTCTTCTCCTCTCCTTTTACTTTCCTTATCTTTATTCTATCTTCCCCTAAAAGGCATTTCACCGTGTCGCTCAAGAGGTAGACACAAATTAGGTGCTTTTTTCCCTCCTTTCGAGAATCACTCATTTATCTGCTACCGAGTTTCTTGATTGAAAAAGCCGAGTGCTCGCGCTGCACAACCATTTCCTGGCCACCTCAATCCCTGTTTATACAAGCTCTGGATCTCGACCTTCAAGGTAGTGCCGGTGGGCGATTTCTCATGCGCGTTGTTGAACAACAAACATTCGCAGCATGCTCGTTAAGTAAAAGCAGGCTGTGGGTCTCTGCGTCCAATCGGAGTCGCCTGTCTCTCATTGCCCATTAGCAGCGATTGGCCATGTTCTAGTACGAAGCATCGGTCCGTCACTGCGTGCTTTGCGCCTCCCCAGGTTTCTCTCTTACGCAACGCCACGATGAGCCCAGCATCAACGCCGCCGCCTAGTGTAAACGTTAGCGCTCGATGCTTCGCATCTACACGTGCTTCCTTTGTGCGAGAGATGGTGTAATCGTTTTGGTACACGGAGCTGCCTGCCGCGTGAACTATTACTTATTTATTTGACTTGTATACACGGAGACACAAAGACACAGAGGAAATAGGGAGAGAGCAAGCTGGCAACTGCCACCTGGAGGGGCACAATGCCTATACCCACTTTTTCGGGAGAAGTAAAGAAACAGAGGAATAGATGATAAGAGGAGAGAAAGAGGAAAGAAGAGAGCGAAGTAAAAAAAATGACGAAGACGAAATCAACCAAAGCTATCCCTAGCACCATCAGGTACATAAGAGCGCCACCGACTATTGAATCCATTCCGTGCATGGGTGCTGCGTACAGCCTTGCAAAAATAAAGCTGAATATGTGACTACATCGTCACAACGTTTCGACGCCATAGCACTAGCGCACGCTCTAAGAAATACCTGTATGTCCGATTTCAAAGGAAACCACTGCCTTTTTTTACTTAAAAAATCTTGATGGGAGCCGACAGAAAGAAACAAACAACGTAGTGGGATAATCATACGATGAACAGGTGAAATGCCTCAGACTGGGTGGCCGACGTTTCGATAGGAGGACCTATCTTTTTCAAAGGACTGAAAAAGATAGGTCCTCTTATCGACACGTCGGCCAGCCAGTCTGAGGCACTTTACCTTTTCATCTCATGATTATACCACTGCTTTTTTACTAAGTTATTTAAGAAAAACTTTGTTAAATCGCATTCTGTGACCAAGTTATTCCCTTAGTTCGGGTTGATGATGACATTGAGCGTTATGGGTGTGTGCCTGAGGATGGAACGCATTCGTTAAATCACGAACTTTTTGGCTTCTTTGGTAAATGTTTGGTTTCTTTAAATTGAGTAGATTTATTTATTTATTTATTTACGTACCTATATACTTATTTATTTATTTATTATTTATGTCACTATGAGCTCAGGATATTATCACGCACTGCTTATAACCACCTCGTAAAACCACTATAGATGCCCTGATCCTTCACGCAGACTTCTTGTGAATGCTTGTAATGTCTATGGCAATTAGGACGTCCGCTAGAATGAGCAGGTGACAAACTGAGTAAACCTGTCGGTCCTGCGAAAGCCCGTCCTTTCGCAGCTTGCAACGAACTTGTAACCCAGGGTTCACACATAGCGAAGTGCTCTTTGGTACTTCTGTGCAGCCTCGCATCGATCACCAAAGTGGGGAATCTGGGATCGGACCTGGACCAACTCTTGGAATGAGCGGCAATTTCACGAATGGTCAGGATATACTGTTGTATGACAGGGGTGTCGCAAGCCATAAGATTTCCTACTAGAACTAGATACTATGGCATTAGATCAAACCTAAGGACGCGTGTTTCTCTGATGTACAAACTCTGGGCCTGAAATGTTGACTAGACGTTCTTTATTAGTTCATGTTTAGAGATTTAAAAAAAGACTGATTATCTTGTGAACAGATATAAGCAACACGTGTCTTGTGTCTCATCATCATCATCAGCCTGACTACGTCTCCTACAGGGCAAACGCCTCTCCCACAATCCGCCAATCAACCCGGTCATGCGCTTTCTGCTGCCACGTTATACCTGCGTACTTTTGAATCTCATCGGCCCACCTGACTATCTGTCTCCCCTTCGTGCGTTTGCCTTCTCTTGAAATCCAGTCGGTTACCCTTAATGACCAGCGGTTATCCTGCCTATGTGCTACGTGCCCAGCCCATGTCCATTTGTTCTCCTTGATTTCAGCTGTTATACCCCTGACACCGGTTCATTCCCAGACCCACTCTGCTTTCTTCTGGTCTCTTGAGGTTACACCTAGCATTTTTCGTTCCAGCACTCACTGCGTCGTGCTTAATTTAGCTGAACCCTCTTTGTAAGCCTCTTTGTAAGCCTCTTTGTAAGAAATAGTTTTTTTTTTGTCTCTCTGGCGCTCACCGTGGTTCAAATGCGTCACTGAGTAATCAAATAGCGAGAAGTAGAGCGTGCGCCTTAATGTGAGAAGAGCAGTGAGGTCGGCCGGAGGAACTTTTCACTATTCTGCATAAGGGAAAAGGAGAACATATTTAAAAATATTAAAGAGAAGGAGTGGGAAAGGCAGTGCTAATTTACATGAAACTGGGCGCACGTGTGCACGTGTAACCATTTGACTAGAATCCATGAATAACAACACTGCTTTGGACCCTAGAATTTGGCTAAAGCTCTCGTCACGGAATTCCCGTGAACGCAACATGATTCAGTGTCGAATATAATAGAAAAGCTATGGCTCAACAGCCATCGATCGCCCTCGCGTCATAGTAACTCCAAGTAGCAGAGCTTCATAGGTGACCCTGATTCGAGCAGCGTGGTGATGTAGTCGCAATCCAGTGTCCAATTTGTGCGTCTTCACGCTATAATGTCAACCTTCGTTACACTGCACAGGCCGAAGAGTTTCTCGGCGCCACTGCTAATCTCCGATTCCATCACAGATGTTACAGGATGCGCGGCGTGCATCAGAGGAACATTGCCATGACCTGCGATATCTCTTTTTCGCAAGACACGCGAGATCTACGAGCGAATACGGTGCGCAGATGTTGCGATTGCATGCACCATACGTGCCATCGTAAGCGTGTGCAGATTTGCCCAACAGGGTTGACAAAATTCATCAAAGCACCCCATCCCCCGCTACTAAATGAACGTGTGGGGCAGATTTTGCGCCCCTTTCTCTCTTAGTTAAAGGGAAGAACGCCTCTTCCCCCTTCCATGCGCGCACCTATGCGTACCGTCACATACCGCTCTGATGTGTTCGCGACTCATGAAGTGCGCAGGTTACGGCTAGTTTGAGCGTGAGGGGCACCTATTTTTTTTTTTCGCATATGCCTGCAAACGTTGCTAGCTAGTGTGATGGTGGCCAGGGACATATATGGCTGGTGTTTTCTCGTTTTAACAGATTCAGCTGAGTGTATGAATGATCGCAGCTGGTACTGCTCCTGTGTATGATTCTAAATACTGCTCCTGTGCATTAATGATACTGCTCCTGAATTGAATTATCGCTGTAGGATAAAGTGCGACGTGCTCATAATATTTGGGTGTACATTGGAGAAAACATACTGAACTATTTCGGGAAATGAAACTTGTTTTTGTAACTCATAAAACTAACTGAAGGCGCGACGTTAATGAAACATGGTAGCCGCTTAATTGAATCGCATATCATTTGAAAAAATTGCTGTTGTGGTAGGGAACGCAGTCGCCAGTGTTTATTTCTGTTTGTGATTAAATATATCACCTAGAGCCGAAATAAATAGTAATGCACAATGGGTGCTCTCGTAACCCACAATAATCGGATAATGTGCGTTGTCTATTGATTTCAGCACCCTAATAGAGCTCTGATAAAGGTAGATAGGTTCTAAAATAAGGTGAGAGGTTTATTATGTAGGCGTGAAGATAAAAATTTTCGCCGACTCCGAAAGTACCACATTTTTTTTGACAAAAGCATTCCTATGGGTTTAAGATTATTCATTTCAACATTTTGCAGCAGTACATCACGAATCATTCATAATGTCCCATCACAGGTGGACCTCCGACACGTGGACGAGGTGCAAAATCAAAGCTTGGTGGAAATCGGTGTTGATCTGACGGAGTTTTACCTCAGCGTCGAGTGGGACATCCTCGAGGTTCCCGCGGTAGCGGCACGAGAAGTACTACACGTGCTGCGAACACCCTTACATCGACATCACCTTCAACATCAGCATGCGCCGCAAGACGCTCTTCTACACGGTCAACCTCATCGTGCCCTGCATGGGCATCTCGTTCCTGACGGTGCTGGTCTTCTACCTGCCGTCCGACTCCGGCGAGAAGGTTGCTCTGTCCATCTCCATCCTCCTCTCGCTCACCGTCTTCTTCCTTCTGCTGGCCGAGATAATCCCGCCCGCGTCGTTAGTGGTTCCCCTGCTGGGCAAGTACCTTCTCTTCACGATGGTCCTGGTCACTCTGTCCATATGCGTCACCGTGGTAGTGCTCAACGTGCACTTTCGCACGTCATCCACCCACCGCATGGCACCTTGGGTCAAGAAGGTGTTCCTCCACATACTTCCGCGCCTGCTTGGCATACCCCGTCCCGCGCCGGAAGAACCCCTCTTCAAGCTAGTGGTACCCAGCTGCAACGGCACCGACACGGCGCGGGACCCGTACGCCACTGCCTCTACGAGTGCGTCGCCGGGTCCGGGATTCGAGGAAGGCGTCTATCTGCGAGAAGAGGACCCCATCGTCTGCAAGGTGCACGGTATTCGCAGAACTGCCAGCGAAACGTTCGCGGACTATGCGACCGAGCCGTCTTCCGCAGGGCACCGTCGTCCATCGCCACCTTCGCCCTTGGTTGGTGGCGCACCAGGCATGAGGCTCCACTTCTGCCCTGAGCTGCAGCGCGCGCTCGAGTCCGTGCACTTCATAGCCGACCATACGCGTCGATATGAGGATCACCTCGAGGTGAGCGTTTCTCGCGTATTTTCGACCGGTCGACTTCGTATTGTGATTTGTTTAGTATATACGTACGTTTGTCGCACGAGCATTGTAAAACAGCAGCACGTACTTTCAACCTCATTCCTACTATCTTTATCGAAGAGAGTTAAATATCAACATGAAGATATTTTGGTTAATATCTATGCCTAATATATTTTTATAATATGTAAGAAATGAAGACAGAAAGCAAAGCGTCCTCAAGTAGAATTCACAAAGCTATCAGTTCGTGAGAGCCGTTTTGAGATTCATCAGCGAGCTTAGCCAGTAATATCCCGAGTGACAAGATTGTCTGAAATTATTGTTTGAAAAATATTCTAGTGAATGGTTTTTTAGTAGGGGTCCTATAGCTTTAAAGCTTCCATTTACCAAGTGTGCGTGTTGTCCCACTTTAGAAGCCGTACGCATGCAACACCTCAGTCGGTGTTCCCTCCTGAGCCCAGCTGAGAAATTATCCAAATAGTCTAATGAGAAACATGCCCATGGCTGTCCCGGCAGAATTTTCTATGCAGACCAAACTACCATAATAAATTCTGGCTTCTTCTATCTGGGCTCATATTCACAAGACATTTCGCGCTACCATTGTTTGAACCGGTGATGATTCAACCAGTGGTGATGTTGAAGATAATAATAGCAGAACCAACACGCAAATGGCTGGGAGCTTTCATGAAAGAAATCTTACGCGTAGTCAGATCCTGAGGATTATTTATTGGGGTCATGAGGGCACCATCTGGCAGTTACTCGGGCAGCAAATATTCAACAATCATGCGTTGCATTAAGGTGTATGTCGAGATTCTTCTAACTACGGCAAACTGTTGGGTGCAATAGGATAGCAAGATCAGCTCGTCATGGTTGTGTATGTCTTTTAGAAGAACATCATTTGAATTGCTTTGAGTTGTCCTTCTGCGAAAATAAAAAAAAAGCATTCTTTACAGATAAAAATACGAATTTTTAACTTCATTGTTAGCCAGAGACATGCACACGGGTACACAGTGATTTTTGCAGAGCCGATGCGTAGAGACAGGATTCTTGATAACTGATCGAATCAACAAATGATTGCGCATTCACTGTCGCTAGCTAATGAGCGATCATCATCTACTAACACTTATCTTAGTGAGTTTCTTCTTTGACTTTTTATAAACGTTACCAGTTTCAGGTTTTCTGCATAACAATTCTAGCTGAATGCTTGTACTGTTAAAAAGAGTGCCACTTAGGCTCGTTCTATATGCCTTTTCTCACCTCAGGTGAAGGAAGATTGGAAGTACGTCGCCATGGTTCTAGACCGGCTGTTCTTGTGGATTTTCACAGCAGCCGTCATTGTCGGCACATGCGCCATCATTTTGGACGCACCCACGCTCTACGATACACGTGAGCCCATCGACGTGCGGCTGTCTGAGGTCCTTAGCGTACTTTACAAGGGACAGCAATCCTAGGGAGCATGGCCGTTTCAAAGATCACTGCTGCCAGACATGACATGAACTGCGTGGCCCAAGCCATGGCTCTTCTTCGAACTATTTATATTTTAAGAGCGAGGATGATAGGTAATGCATCCGGTCCAGCACAGCCTGTCTTCTCAAGCTGCCATGGATCCTGCAGCAGTGTCAGCCATCTGTGCTCACAACGCGTAGAAAGCCATCGCGGCACCAACTTTATGACTGCCTCGGCACGATGGACCAATGAAGACGAAAGTAGAAAGCACAACTCATTGCCAAGGCGTCGCACCTCCCAATGTGCAAGAATGCCGGGACCCTCTTTCCCCAATCCCGTAAACCAAACTCCCAACGCCACCTTACCTAATCCCACGTTTAGCATCCAGTAAAGGTCACCATATAACAGGACCACGCTTACCTTTAGAGAAAAGATGCCTGGCTACAGGCCAAGATGCCATCACCTCGCCTGATTTTGTCTTTTATTTCAGATGACCAATCCCATTTGTCTGTAAGTCGCACTTGGTAGTTACAAAAGCCAGGCGTAAAAATATAGACAGCGGGGGCATCATTTTCAGTAGAGCGGAATGAAATGGTGGAACATAATAGGGCTTTCCAATAGACCACCAAAGGGCGAAAGCTTGACATTGCCCAGAATCGCACAGAGTACGGTCACCGAAAGTGTGACGTTACCTTGTCCGATATAGTACAAAGCCGACCGTTCACGCTGTGCGTAATTCGATGTCTACACTTGCTTGCTTGCCACGTCATCTGTCCTCCTTTCTTGCTAGTAGAATTAGGGTCCAGGAGAGCCTATAGATTTTTGAGTAAGCAATGTCAAGTTTGCCAAAAAAGGCCTCTGCGACATATTTTGCGAAAATCTAGCAATGACAAACACCTAGAAATCGGGACTCCATCCTTAGAGACGTCTTATCAGGGCGTCTCAAGCTTTGTCTAACTTTATATGTGTACGCGATGTCTTTTCGGTAACGTATCAGCGACACTGAGAAATAGTAGTCTCATTTTGCTCTTCGCAGTGTGACGTGCATGGGCATCTATAAGGAGGATAAAGAAACAGCAAGCTTTTGAACTGAATGTCATATCTTTATCTCGTTTCATTCGCGAACAACTTTCTCAAAGACCTTTCCGACCATGAATTGGTGACCCTTGCAGTTAATCACTGTATAGCACGTGAAACGTTGCCCATAGATTGTTGTTCGGTGTATTATGTGCTCTACCTTGTCTTGTGCAGGACTCCGTAACAACTGAATTGAATGCGCGAGAATTCTTCCCAGCGGACTACGTTCAATATGCCCTCAGGCGCCACTTTTCACTGGGACCGGAAAAACGTTTCTAGCCGGTGCTTGCGAGGCCAATAATTCCGGGCACCGGCTTTTTTTCACGGGCACAGCGTTAGCTTAGCTACATCTTAAAGTAATATTTTGACAATATTTTTACAATGTCTCTATGTACTGTTATCAAGTATTACAGGTTTATTGAGATGTTGCAGACATTCATAGACTGTTATTAAAGTCGGCAGAGCAAGGGTACCACCATGTTGATGTATTTTTCGATCAGAGCAGTCGCACTAAAAACTGATGCCGCAATACCTGCGCAGCTGTTTTGTGTGTATTTGAGTTAATCTCTTCTTCGAGGTGTTATTGTGACGTGCAACGTGTTCTTATTACGTGAGTGAAGTGTAATCGCAGGGGCGCCCCTGCAACCCACTAAAGAAGTTTGTGGAGATTGTTCGTGAACATAGCCGAAGTATAGCTCACTATTCCACAGTTTCCAGCAACCTCGAGCCATCGTTTCGCACGTTGTTTTTCTTTCTCTTTTTTACTTTATAGCGTACCTTCCCTTTCTTATTTCTTAGTGCACTCTGAACAACTTCCGTTTCTCACTACTTGCCCGTACAATAAATCACCTTTCCTTTCTAGTGTATCTCTGCCTGTACTTATAACGTCTCATTTCACGTTTTCAAGTAGAAAAAAGCTGGCTCGAGTGCTCTAGCTTCTACCCCGGGTTGTTTTCTCAAGAGATTCGCAGCACTAACCAAACCGTGACTAAGGATACATGAGTGCCTACTGTCTCCTTTACGCTGCACCTGTCAGAATGGTTTATTTAGGTCTCGTTTGCATAATCTAATCCTGAGCCACGCGTAAATTAAAGGACCAGAGGGTGATAATATATCTCCACTTACATGTCCCAATATCACAATATGATTTTGCGGGGCGCCATAGTGAAGAGCTCCGGAAATTTCTATCATCTGGGAACTCCTTATCGTGCGCTGACATCGCACAGTATGCAAGCCTCTACTATTAGGCCTCTACCAAAATAGCGACATCCGGAGCAGGTATCGAACCAGCGACCTTCGAAACAGCAGCCGAGCACCGTAATCACCGATCCACCTTGGCGTACAAGAATACGAGAGGGTAGCTATTGTATCCTGAGCTGGGCCAAGCTGAATATATTATTGTTATTTGTATAATTATTAGGGTATCTGTTTAAAAATACATTATTGCCGTGGTGCAGGAGACGAAAAGCGACATTATGAGTCACCTTACTAGGCCTCTAGCACCACACCATACATTATTCACCCTGAGCGACTGCACTGGCAAAAAAAAAGGAAAAGAAACACAAGAACACAACCCAATTTCTGAGAATTAGGAGAAAGCTTATACAAAATAAAGATTACAACAAGGCTTCAAACATCGGTCAGATTAGATACACGTATCATTGCAAAGCAAATACACATAGAGAGAGAGAGAAATAGAGAGGCAGACACTGGTGTTTCATATGGGAGCATAAACACAGGCTTTTCTACATAAATAGTCACAGGGGTGCGTACGTATATAACACTCTGTGCAAGGAATATTCAATACCAAGTACTCGAATAGTTAACAACCTTTTCAAAACATAAAATTTTCCTAACACAGTGGAAGACAAATGTTTATTGTTTCTTTCGATGTACATGTCGAGTTTATTTTTTCAAACAGAATAAGCGCGACGCAGAAGCATAGGTCGGCAATAATTGTGGAGCTCACTCATTGAGTATATTTTGAACTCAGAGTTCACTGGGACTCAAATTCACCAAACTTTCCTTGTTCCAGACTCACTCGGACGCACACTCACGAACTTTTTTCTTTAACCAAACTCACTCAGTCTCCAACTCGCCAAAATATTACTTATTCGGACTCACCCAGACTCACGGCTCGATCTGAGACTCAGTGAGTCCAAATGAGTCGGCTCATGGGTTCGTCAGCCTAGTATAACCTTTTTCAACCGTGGTGTAAATGTCCACATAATGGGTGCTCTTCGAGGCGGCTTTCGATATAGTAGCTCCGAGTACTATATTCATGAATAGTGTCAAATCAGTATGGACATTTTTTTTTGAAAGAGAATACATCATGAAACATGTTTATCAAGAACTTCTCTGTAAACGTTGGTGTAGGGGAAGTCAAGGCACTCCTATTTCCCTACGCAATTCATGCCTCTGATCGCTAAACATTAAAATGTTCTATGAACGATATTGCTTCGGAATACGTGTGGGTAGACGTGAGTATAGAGGTCTAATGTAATACTTATAGTAATGGTGAACATGAGTGGAGCCGCAGAAGTAAGCGCGTGCTTACACTTGTGCGAGCATGTCCCCGATACATTAGGAATTGTAGTGTCATCCACAGTTTCTGTCAGTTTAATGTGTTTAATGCGTGAGAGCTGGTCAACGATAAACTAAAGCTAACACCACTGCATACTGCCGTTGAGCGAATGTTAGAAACCTCAAAAGAAACACCAGCATAGCCCAGCTCTGACGCCAGTCTTTCAGCTAGTTGGCCAGCTTTCTTCACGTCGGCAATCAGCTTTGTCACTGCAAAGCGCTGACAAAGGACTCAAAATAGCCAAGTAATTAGAAAGCTGTTCGGGCAGTTTCTGACTTCAAACAGCCCTTGTTATTAACAACGGTGCTCTGCCTGTTGCGTATCCGCTTTTATGTTAATCCATACGCACCGAGCATACTGTATACACTGATCATCCAAATACGGTTGACTAAACTATCAGACTGAAGGAGCTGGAACGTGGCCCTGTTGGCAGAGTTTATCGTTGGTAACATGTTAACATCATTTGTCACTTGAACTAGTTATCCCCCATTCGGCTTGGAGTATGTTTTGCTGATCGACTTCAACATTGTTTCGACTTGCATGTGCATATGGCCGACTTTCTATTCTTTATACACCAGACACCTAAAAAGAAAAACATCATCCATCAAGACAACACTCGCAACAACGAGTCTTACAGATTCCGTGAAAGTAATGTAGGTGATTGAGGACATGACTGACATTTATTTTACGAGGTTTACACTTGGGTTCTTCTGTTCTAGAATACTGCGAAAGTTGGTAAATATGTCACTGCTGTGCGAAAGCCCAGTTTTGGTTGGAATGTCATGACAGTCCGGCGGCCATTTCTACCAATGCCTCCTCGACTTCACCTGTCCAATTAACTATGTGCGGCGAGCGAATATCGCACACAGTTTATTTCAACTAAACAGATCTCTTGAGTTTTCAAAGCTCCTCTTTCAGATTTGGGGTGTGGGAAACTTTGAAGATACCTATTTGGCTGTGGGTTTGCATAGCTATAACATTTACGTGATGTTCTAGCTCCTGCCGTCACCGTGGTGCCCTCTATACTGCACATATACCTTTATTTCATAGGATGTTTTTAATTCGATAGCATTTACACACGCTCCTATTTCTTCCACGTTCGTGCTTTTTCCGTTAATTTCACGGTTCTATAAACTGTGCTCCGGTTTTTTCGACACTCAGAAATTACATAGTCCAGCCAACGTGTTGTTTTTAGAAATTTGACCGGCGCATTTCATAAGGGAAGCATGTCCTGATACGGGTGGGCTAGATGGTTGATTCAACACATTTTGGAGAAAGGTTGCTAAGCCGCGGAACACTTTTCTTTGTGTGAATAAATTTTCAGTGCAGGAATGAAGTCAATGGCAAGGCCACCAACATAAATTCACGAAGCGCCTTCAAAATTTTTTTGCGACAATATCATATCCACTTTCGCTCACCGCAAGAATTGGGAGTGTGGACAGTGCACTTATACGTTTTCTTTTTCTTTTTTTGGCAAGACGTATGTGTATCCTCAAGGCGAACGTATCATTGTTTTATGTGAGATAAACTACCAATGTTTTTTTTTCTTCTGAACAAATCCCCACTATGTTCTGGTGAAGCTTCAGTAAATGTTTAGAGTCTTTTTGAGTGTGAACTGTTGTCAGCATTATCTTGCCTGTTTCAAAGTTTACTGGTTAATAAAGTATCTTGGTAAACACTGAAACATCTCTCGTCATCTACCTTCATACTCAAGCTCTGAACTTCAGTGACAAAGCAATTCAACCTGTAAGTACTTACCTCAGCCTTTTTAATCATGTGATCTTTATCATACGAACACACTTCACAGAAGATATCGAAGCTTGAAATGGTTTTCATGGGGTTTCTTTTGGAAAGTATCAAGCCCCTGACGTAGATGCACCCGAAAATTCACACACCCATTTGAGCGCTGAGCGGAAAGCATACAATTCATAATAAGCAGTTTAACATGCGCATCAATAGAGATAGCAGTGCACCGCCACGCCGAATTTTCAGCCACGTAGTCTTCAGACGTGGCACTGTGTAGAACGTCACTGGTGGGACCGATCTGATTCACTCGAAGGCGTGTTCACACTGAGACCTTTAGCTTCTATTTATGAAGACGCGTTGCACAA